TGACATGTTGCTGCCTGGACAGTTTTCTATCCAATAGTCTCTCTGTCTGTTTGTTATAAATGCGATGGATACTCACCTCTGTCTGTGGTAGAAAGTCAGACCTGAAAAAAATAACTGGCCTTTGGAGGATTAACACGTAAACCAGTCGGCGCTTTTTGTAGATTGGCCGTGGTCTCCTCTACAGTAAACACACGCCCACGGCCCATATTCACGTCCAGATCGCCGTTATACTTCAGCCATAACTACAAAGTTATGTTTTATAACAAACATTAAACATGCTTTAACTCATAATAAGACGTTGCAATATTTCCGTTCCTTTAAAATCGACAAGAGGTTTTGGTACTTAGTGCTGGAACGACGTTGAATGAGACAGAAAAGCAATTTAGTTGAGAAAAGTGTAAGAAAGTTCGCCATGTTGATTTTTGTTTACAAACTTGTATTCAGAAAAAAGCCATATGTTCCGGGGGCACATGGTTTGAAATGCATGTAGCTTCGGGTCAATATCTATACATACAACTCAGTAAAACTACTGGCAATTTACTGTCATACAGATACTGTTTGATGTCCTTGAACTGATACATTTCAAAGTGCCATGTCATACGAATAGTACAAATGTTGCCATTGATTGACACATTTCCAGCTACGCTTTAAGTTAGAAATAACAAATACACATGTCTTCCTCGAGAAGTGCCCAGGTATGAAAAACCTAAAGAAGTATCTATTCTGTCTGTTGTGATGCCACAACGTCATCAGGACGACGTCATCGTCACGTGGGTTTACGTGAACCTTTATAGCAGCATTATTATTCACGTGTTTTTAAAATATAAGTTGGTCAAATATGTAAACACCACATGAACACTCTGCTTGATAGTTCCCACAGGAAGGTCTGTGACAAAGGACAAGGTTTTTTTAATATATACATCTTTTCTTTTCAATACTCATTTGAAATGTTAAAGAATATAACACTTTTTTCATGAAACATAATAATTGTTTTCTTTTATAAAGACATGTTACTTATTGGGAGGCCCGTGAAGATCCGGGGTAGAATAGGTCTTCAGCAACCCATGCTTGTCGTAAAAGGCGACTGTGCTTGTCGTAAGAGACGACTAACGGGACCGGGTGGTCAGGCTCGCTGACTTGGTTGATGCATGTCCTCGATCCCAATTGCGTGGATCGATGCTCATGATATTAATCACGGGATTGTCTGGTCCAAACTCGATTATTTACAGACCGCCGTCATATACCTGGAATATTAGTGAGTGCGGCGTTAAACATCAAACCAACCAACCAACCAACCAACCAACTTATTGGGAAAGTACATCGCGGTCCTTGACCATGTTGACGTGACGTTAGGCCACACGGCGAATATGGAAATGTTTACATAGTCCTGAGACTGAATGATGAGTTGGGTACAAACGGGTTCCTGCAAATATACACACACACCGCACTTGTGAATCGCGAGGGAGAACAAAGAAGAGATTAGCATCCTCTGCTACTGTGTTACACATCCAAGGATCATTCGATTGTTTCTTCATGTTAAGAGTATGCAACGCTTGCATCTCATATTCTATCCAGCGATGCCTTCATGGGTGCCACTGCCTCTGGCATTTGCGATCGCTTGCTGGTTTTCAGAACGACTTTATTTCACCCGAGGATACACCTGTCAATATTAGTTCAGGACTTGCACTCTTTGAAAATGTCGTCCTTCTCCTATTTCCTTGACTTCTGAAGTCAACTGTATGATGGCCTTAACCTCTATTCACGACGGGTGGATGACCCTGTTCTGTCACCGTTGAGTGTGGGCTTTGAATTTGTCGGTTTCAATATTTGCTCTTCCCAAAGGCACTAACAATCTTAATGTGTGTGTGTGTGTGTGTGTGTGTGTGTGTGTGTGTGTGTGTGTGTGTGTGTGTTTGTTTGAGCGATTATATATTCTGTGTGTCTGTATGTGGCTTGTACTTGTAATATCATCCTATCACGAGGAAGGTCTCAGCATTCAAATGAGCATCATCACATGTTCATAATAATACTTACTGCAAATAGGTGTCAATAGTACAAGGTCCCTAGTTCCCTTTTCTCCAAGTTCCGTTTTATCAATGGTCTCTAAAAGTAGTGAAGCCTTTACAACACATAGCTAGACTCTATAAAATGTCCAATATGGAAAACAAAATCACGAGAGACAGATCTTGCGTACAGGGATGGAAATTTTTATATTTAGTATAACATTTTTTTATATTAAGGAACACAGACCCCATAAACCGTACTCTCTCTCCAATGGTTGTCTTCGTCGATGAAAAGCCTTATTTACATGTCTTGATTTCCACTTCCAATTTAGTCAATACGTAAATGAGCATTTGCATTAGTACAAACTTATATCGATCTGTGATGTGTGCATCTAAATCAAACCTTGTGCTGCCGAATAGACTTACATGTACAAGAACCACGAGGACCGTTTGCCGTCAATTCAACCGTAGGCAGTCGTTAAGAGTCAAAATCTTTAACGTCTCTTTCGCTCAGATTCACCACACCAATGGACAAATGCCACGGTCGTATATCTGTAGCTATTCGAGGTTTTGCTTTCATGTCACTGTTAGACCTTTCCAAATTTTCATCAGGACATTGATATTCTGAATTTCACTACAGTGCGATGAATGCAGTTTATCCATCCAGCTGAATCAGGTACATTCGGTCTGGCTGTGAGTTTATACACATTGCTCTTTTTTCAAATATCCATCTTTATGTGATTATATTGCCTGTACAAATGTTACGAAAGGTAGTATTTTATATTATATTATCATTACTTGTTGTAGATCAAGTTGCTATGTACTTCGTGACAGCATTATTATTACTTCATCCCTGAGACCAACAGTCGTGAAGTTTGCCGCTCGGATCATCTCGTTCTTATGACTGGATAACATCGAAATGAAATCGTTTGTGACAGTAAATACATCAGCTCTCATACACTGTGTTTAAGAGTTGTAAAGGCGAACTGCCATTTCTGCATCACAGTCGATCGATGTTTTCCCCGAAAGAATATATAGATGATACTTTATTCACAGAGATACATTGCATTTGATATACCTTAAGCTGGACTTCTACATGATAGTTTTTGCAAATATGAAAAGATAATAACTGTTCCACGGGGCAATACGTATTGCCTATATATGTAAAAGACATAGATATAGCAATAAGATAAGATACGCTGCTTTCTTTTATGTTGATATTAGATTAGCTGAAAGTTGGATCAACTTACAAACTAATCGAATGCATATCAATTTAGCAGTCCACAGAAAGATTTTAGTGATCACTAAGCCGCCAATATATTATTCTGTCCTTATGTCTAGATGGAGTTATTATTATCGAGATATGGTGAAATGAGCGCTCAGCGGAAGCCTTGAAAGCAAGCGAAATGTACTGATAAATTAAGTTGTCTACCTACTTCATACACTGTCGTGCTTAATGACTCATTGTCATATTTCGTGCAACTTAAATGAGCACGATTCAGACATCGGGGTTTTGTTTTTGGGGCCATAATTCAATGTTTATTACCATCCATCCAGTTGGAAGAATATATTCACCAGCTCCATGTATATTCTTCCTATGTCAAAATGGCATGATTCCAATTTCCAGCAGTCAACTTTCACTTTATGTCGGGCAATATTCCTGCAGTTTACATTTCACAACTTTTGAGGTAAAATCGAACATGCTCTTTCAACCAAGATTTCAAAGAGCTTCATACGACTCTTACTCAGAAGGCCTCAGTAAAGCTTTTCAAAACTTTTATGGAGACACACATTTGACCAATCAGTGACAAAAATTATGTCTGTTAGTATTCGATAGTTTTACCATGTTTTTTCAGGTGATCTTGCCTTTGCATGTTTTTGTGACGGGTGCCATCGATGAGGTGCAAGCGTGACATTTCGAAAGCGAGGTCATATTTGCCATGTTTTTCCTGAACCTTGTCAGTCACATTGGTGTCAAAAGGGACACAGAAAATTCATGGATATAAATTATTTCAGTGGATTTATCAAAAAGGACAAGATCATATTTGTTGGCCTGGATACGTCTAAGGCTGTAAATGGGCCAATTCCAAAGACTTTTATATTTATCATTTTCCATGACGCCCTCTACATATTCCGGGTCGTACCATGGATGGACCCCTGTGTCAAAACCATAAGCATGGCGAAGACGGTAATAAAATGATCGAGCTACACCATCATGTCGCTTAAGATACTGTATTTATTATTATTATTATTATTATTATTATTATTATCATTATTATTATTATAGGGTTGAATTGAATGTATGTATGTGGGGGATATTTGCCTTTCGGCCCATCGTTCATATATCGATCGTTTCTGGTCTGTTTATTCGAGGTCCTCTCTGTAATATATTCGGAACTCTGATTGATCATGCATGGTTTTATGACAGAGAAAAACGTCATTAACGTTCTTTTAAATAGGTTTTATGGTTGCATATTTCTTTGTAAATCCAATATGGCTACGTCATAGATAAATAAGAGTAGTGATTTATCACCTTGAATTTTATGTATGTTTAGTTGGGGGGCGATTAAGGTTACTGGTTACTTCGAACGACGTGAACTGCATGTAGAATATCTTGCAGTACCTATTCTAGTTTCTAAATTGATATGTCAACGTACACGAGCAAAAACCAATTAATTACCAGTGACATTATTACTCGTGTTGCAATGTTATGAAATGCAATGACCAGAGAATATGTCAAGGCATGTTTGGTGCATCCAGGGAGAAGTGTGTCGAATATATTTCCTTATTTTCTTTTGTATTGTTCATTGACCGTTGTAAATACTCTGAATGTGTGGAATATGTACATGTGTTACTGGTACACATATGTATTGGATGACAAGGATTACTCAAACATTTATAAATAATGTATAGTTTAAGGTTCATTATTATGTTCATATGTTGAATACACCTATTTGTACTGAAGCATTGTAACTTACCACTAGCGGTTTCTTGTAGGAATGGCAAGATGAACGACTCGTATGGGACCCCAAGGATTTCAACGGGTTGGAGATTCTAAGGATACCTTGTGAAAAAATATGGCTTCCAGATATTGTACTATATAACAGGTACGTAATGAGTTTAAAACATCATGTTATAATGTCGCATGTTAGTAACAGCGTTTATTCGAGTTAAAACAACTTGTTATATCACATAGTCATCATTGCAGCAGCATCCCATTCTTTACCTTTTGCACTTATATGTGAGTTGAGGTGAAGTGAAATGGGTTAATGTCGCGTCCAAGATTATTGTTATTATATAGCGAAGCATGAGTGTGTGTGGCTGATTGTACTAGTCTGGAGTAATGTCGATTTGATAGTGCTAGCCAACTGAGATATCATGCCACAGCTCAACATGAATACCCCCCACTCAGACACAGTACACTGACTCCGAGCCGACCAGTCCTTGTTTTTGCCCCGGAATGCCGAACGTTAGGCAGGTAAACAACATGCTCTCATATGTACTTTAGAAGAGTATGTCATCCAGCCATGCTAGGATTAGCTCGTCGGTCGTAGGTTCGATTCCCAGTCACTGTGTATTTCGATAATAACGCGTGTTCGTGGCTTCAACCAAGTTAGTTAAAACGACCTGTGACAGATTTTTTATTCCATGATGCTTTTTCCGTGGTACTTATACACAAACCGCTAAGGACTTTTCTTTAATTGTGGGGTATACGTTAAGCAGCACCGGTATACCAACAAATGGTCAACAATTTAAAAAAATATATTTTTCGAACAAAACAATGTATATTGTTGGCATGAACCTCCGCCTCGGTGGTGTAGAGGACAAAGCTTCTTCCCGGAGAGCGAAAGGCCGTTGGTTCCATCCCATGGACGCGTCATACCAAATGACGTTATAAGATGCACTTGTTGCTACTTGTTGCTACCTTGCCTGACGGGGATAAAATAAGGACACGTAGACACACACACACGCACGCACGCACGCACGCACAATACGTGCTTGTACATTGCTTTATAAGGATAATACTCTTGAACGCGATTTTAAACCCCACCTCACCTCACCTCACCTCACCTCACCTCACCTCACCGTACCACACCACATCTCACCAAAGTACTGTAAATCCACCCAAATAATGACTTATGGATCTACCTCCATTGTAACCTACTTGTATATTTTCTTCCAGTGCTGACGATTTTACAACCGGTTATATGAAGAGTAAAGCTATGGTTACGAATCAAGGCAATGTTTTCTGGCCACCGCCCGCCAAGTTCAGGAGTTCCTGTAAAATAGACATCACATATTTTCCATTTGATGATCAGATTTGTGAGCTAAAGTTCGGTTCCTGGACGTATGACGGTTTTCAAGTGGACTTGACGAACCGATCGGACGTGGTGGATCTTCAAAACTACATATTCAGTGGCGAGTGGCAGTTGTTGGCTGTGAGAATAAAAAGAACAGAAGTGTTTTATGCATGCTGCAAGGAGCCTTACCCTGACGTGCGGTTTACTGTCATCATAAGGAGAAAGACACTGTATTATCTGTTTAACATTATCTTCCCGTGTCTGTGGTTGACAATTCTCAGTTTATTGGGGTTTTGGCTCCCGCCAGACTCAGGAGAAAAAATCACACTTGGGATCACGGTACTGCTTGCGTTCTCGGTGTTTATGTTGCTTATAGCTGAAAATATGCCTGCGACTTCGGAGTTTGTACCATTAATAGGTGAGTATTTTAGTTTGTGTGTACGTCAGAAATGGTTCCTGACGTATCATATACATTATTTTTTACAATTTAGAGTCTTAGTTCTCCTTGGGAAAAGTGACTCAAATGTTGCCTAACACTGAGAGTAAATATCGGTTGTTAAACAGAAGAACATTTCTAATTTATTTACCAACTGAAAATAGGTTAGCTGGTATTGACCATGAACAAACCTAAAATAACGTAATGCGATATGAGCGGTGCTCTTCAATGAATGAAGGTGAAAGTTTGCATTAATTTAAACATTCGTGTACTCTGCGGATGATCTTTGTTACGACATAAATAACCTAAGTGTCATTTCGAGCAATTTGATTGGCTAATGAGGGTTTCAATTTCTGAATCCTCATTCGAACTACTTTAGGTGCTAAGCTATCTCCTGCAATTACTCTTTCACACACGACGTGCAAATAGAATTTGGAAAAGTAAAAGGATAATGACAGTGAGAAATGCTGCGTTTGAATCGGGATTTGTCACTTCATGCATAATTTGCACGGTTTAGCCTAAACAGCAAGCTTAGCTGTGCTTTTCAGTTCATAACAAATGAGAATGCAATCACTATCCTTTACAAGCATTTGGAAGCATTTCGTAATACGGTGTTGACAGTTGCGTGGAAATGGTCATTGAACAACTCAAGTTTGTTCTCATCAGTGAAACAACGTGTGGCAGAGTCTGATACAAGGTTCGGCGTGGAAGAGAATAAAGAAAAAATACCATTCGCAGTGAATATCCGCTCATGTATCTTGGCCAATATACACTATGTGTACATGTTCATGACTAAGGACACCGTGTGTACCAATTTAAGCTTCAAACTCTAAATGTATTATCCAACTTTGTTGTTTTTTCACCTTCGGAATGAGGACGGTTTTATACACTATACAATCCATATGTATTTGCTGTAAAATGTGAAGAGGTTTGAAAGAAGACAGAGTAGATTGAAGTAGACTGCCGTAGACTTTACACCGATTTTCAATTTAAAATACTTTTATCAATTTGCATAAGTGTCAATCCCCGACGGGAGAGAACAAGTCTTGTGAGAAATATAAAAACACTGAAAACCCTTTATCTTAATAGCAAGTCACTGAAAATGCCAAGTATGACATAAACAAATAAGTTTACTTTAAAAGTTTTCATATTGCTTGGAACATGTATTGTACAACACAGCCATGAGCATCAATATCAAATTATTGGGATCACTGCCTCCACTGGGTATGAAACTTTATTTTGTCTATGGCCGTTTTATATGTGTTTGCCTTCGGACATCCCAGACCTGGTGAGCGTCATAGGTGACACCCCAGACACTTTGGCCTGTGTCCAGGGAAGGCAGAGTTAGAGGTTCTCCCCTTGCCTGTTTAGCTTCATTGGCATACTGCGATTTACAAAACCCAGCTTTTAGCTAATTTAACTGAATATGAAACGGTAGAATGAAGAATGCTTGCCATACTGGAACCCTGCCAGTGCCAGGAAGAAACGGTGTAAGTCATAACGTCGGTGGAATGTTCTCACATCTGTTGAATTGATACTTCAAATTGAAATATTGATCGAAGTACATTGCTTTGTCCAAGTTTAATGACTATGCATTTCAGATCACTTTTTTTCTATTTGATTACGACTTTTTATTTGACTTATATATTACTTATTGATCACAACCTTGTTCGTCAATAATGTTCATGCATGTTTTGAAAGTTACTAATTATCCTTAATGCAGATGAAATTCATAGTCAAAATGGATTTCAGATTCGTTTCATTGTAATCCAATGGTGCAGACATATCTCAATATTATATGCACTTTTGGACGTGCTTCGTATGGCACAAGCGGTAATGTGTTAGATAGACAAGGCCGTTGTTATGGACCTCACTCGGATGGAGTCTTTGTTGTCGTTAACGTTACCGCGAACATTGGAGACCGAAGCACAATCACCGCAAGCATGTTATGTCTGGGGTCGTTCTCTGATTAGGAAATAGCCGGCTATCGCTATAGAACGTGCTACCGCGGTACCTGGTGGTGTTAGGGGTAAGACGAGGGAGGAACACTTCAAGGAGTATCCGCTTATGTAGAATATTCTGAATCTAAATTAAAGGAAATAACGCGACGTCGCTATGTGTCTCAGAGCTGATAGTACGTTCTGCTGTCCACTCTGCCGCATGCTTTGGTTATAGGGTGTTGTAACCGTTTTCTGTGGAAAATTAGTCTACCAAATGAAAGGGACCTAATGTAATTAGTTTTATGTGACTAGGCTTTTAACAGTTCCCCATACAATCGGCGTTTTGCTTTAGCACCTGCAAATCACCTTATTCTGCAGTGGCTGGTTGGGACCACAAATACAGAGCCATGGGTGATGCTTCTTTGTTGACCAAAATACCTTGTGTTGAATGAATAGCCAAGCTTATTGTTACAGTGGGATGTTATCTACAAAATTGATTCGTAAAACTGGCTAGTGTGTGAGAGCAATATCGCACCTGTTTCACGGCAGTGGGGTGTTATCTACAAATTTGTTTTGTAAACCTGGCTAGTCTGTGAGAGCAATATCGCACCTGTTTCTAGACTGGCCAAACCAGTGACTGACACCATGATCAACGACTCTCACCATAGTACGATGACACTCGAGCATTCGAGTCAAAGAACCTGACTAATCTATCCCTATTTATTCTTCTTCAAGAAGCATTGGGTGTTAGGGACCTATTCGGACTAAATTACTTGACACCAGGACGATTTATCCAAACGTAATTTAACAAAACAATTGTTCAACTTGTCTTTCCTCAAGCTTAATTTACTTCTCTCATTTTCTTGGGGTCACGGTCCTTCTTTGACATACAAACACAACCACGTCATGATCATCGTCATCATCGATGACACAATCACAAAGTGAGAGTTCAATTGGTGTTCAGGGGTGTATTGACACCTTTTAAGATTTTCTGTCTGCTGCAGTAAATATACATTTGCAGCGTGCATATTGGCTTTTTGGGCCAATAAGATTTTCAGCCCAATTCATTCTGTAACAGTCACTGACAAGTTCGTGTAAGCAATGTGTTGTAATAACAAAACCAAACAGATCTCATCAGCCACGGATTCATAAACTTCTTCAAAAGTGAGGTTTATTGACTTACATCAGAAACACAATTTTGTGTATATGTTGCAACCATTGATTTGGTCCGTTGGGTGCAATAAAACCCTGGTAGTCCTCAATCATAATGACAGATTTTAATGGCCCAGTGGGACCAGTGTCTCCACATCAGGCCTAAGGTGCAGGTTCAATTAATCCAATTCGTTGCCTTCGTTCTTGAAGTATTTTGACGTGATGTGTGTGCAATATTCCTAGAGGCACCCATTCCAACTTGAAGGTAAGCGCTGGGTCTAGTTTATCAAGCCTCTCACTAAACTTCCCTCTCAGTGAAACTCGACGAACACTCCAAATATAGCTGTCTGTCGATGGTACGTGGACTGGTTTTGATAGGGGATGTTCCGTATGTTCACCTATCTGTCCCTTGAGGTATGGCATACGTATTAACCCTAGGAAAGTAATAACCAGTCGCTACAGAGGCCAAACTAGACTCTGGGTAATATTTGCCTGAATACTCTTGAACAGAAAATGTTTAAAACATGAAAAATAAGGAGAATTCTCTGTTATTTATACACAGATGCTTTCTATTGTCCATCGATTGGATTCAGTGCATCTAAGATTACATTTCTATAGAGCTTAGGTCATTAATTTCAAGTTGTCGATCTCCACTGGTCCCACTGGCATCTCCATGCCTTGGTCTGTTTACACCATTATGATCTTTGGCAGTTTAATTCGAAATTCTATTTACCCTGTGAATGACAAATGACGCCGCGGTCTGCGAATGACAAGTCACAGGTCAAATGGTCGTTCTTCGTCTCCCTATTTTATTTATTTGTAGAGATACGGTTCAAATTCGAACAGAATCAATATACCAGTGGTCCTCGATAGCAATATAAGGGGCATGTTGTAGATTGATGTAGCTGAACAGCCTGGGCTAAATGTTATCGCTTAAGACAGCGCATCGTGTATTTGATTCTAGTATCCATTACCAATCTTACATAGAAACAGGAGACATCTTAAATCTGAAAAAAGTCCTCTGTGTGATAAATATCTTAAAATTGGGAGAGTGTTTGATGAAGTGGACGGCATGAAGTATACGAATCCAATTCCATAAACTCAGAAAGTGTCAGTTCATGAGCGATGTGCTCTCGTTTGTATTGCGTTATCGGCGGATTCGAATAGTGGGCAGTCTGAGGCGGTGACACCGGGGATGCGTAGACAGTAAAAAGGTAACTTGAGGGTGATCGCCTATGGTTATTGTAATGTCTGTGATGCTTTGATCCCTCGCCTTGAAGAGTTACATTAGCATGCCAATTAATTTTACCTTTTCCAAGCGGAACACCACGTAGTTAGGCCTGCCCACGATTTCCCCGGTTTTTCAAGAATGTGTGTATGTTTTTCTTTTAGGAAGTGTAACGAGATAGCTAGAAGGATTAGTGGTGACGCATCGTAACTTTATTTCAGTGACAGATGACGACCATGTTTCGTTTCAAAGAAGCCAAAAAGTCATGTATGTGTACTTGACATGACTTGTTTCAGGCAGATCGGGGCTGGTACATGTTGAAGTGGTAGTGAGTAAGCAGTTAGCTGCATCCAAGTTTTATTAGGGTGGTGTGTATCTACACGTATGTACTCAGAACAACCGAACCGTTTTAGTAGACTGTAAGGACAAGCGCAGGTTGCTAGGGACCACTTCTGCCACGCAATTCCCAAAGGACCTCCTCCGTGGTCTAGGGGTAGAGCCTCTGCCCGGAGAGGGGAAGGTTCGATCCCATGCCGGGTCATACAAAAAGACGTTAAAAGATGGTATTTGTTAACCTGTCTGGCGCTCGGCAAGGATTGGTCGGCTGGGAGTCAGTATACTGTGTCTAAGTAGGGTATACATGTTAAACCGCGGCATGGGCTCACTCTATAAATCTAGTACAAGGACACACACACACACATGCATGTGTACATACATACAGAATACATAATCGCTCACACACACATACACACACACACACACACACACACACACACACACACACGTACATGCACGTCGCTATATAATACAATAACCCTGGACGCGATATTAAACACCATTTCACCTCACCTCACCTCACCTCACCTCACCTCACCTCACCTCACCTCACCTCACCTCACCTCCAAGATCTAACCAATGGAAATGTGCCAGAACCTGCCCGTGTCAACTAGAATTTAACTTCAAAATAAAACGGCAACGGCAAAGAATAGTCAGTCTCGATTATTTCACGAAACAAATTCCAGTGAGTGTTAAAGGCCAAATAGCTGAGAAAATTTTATGAACAGTTCACCGAAAACAGGTGATGGCTCTAGGTGTTCGTAAAATGGTACGAATGTCCTGCTCCATCGGTAGCAACCACAAGTCCCACAACCTGCATAAAAAGTAATTTTTTGCTCGCTAACGTCGCACAGCCATACCACAACCATACGTGTCATGTGAACCATCCAGTCTTGACAAGACAAACCAGTGACACGCTAACGCGTATACTATTTTTGTAGAAACTAAAAATGACGTTTTAGTTTTGAAGCCCACCATATGTCATCAAAATGTGTCATAATGTCATTCCAAGCAAGGATCAAAGAATCAATTGGACCCTTGAAAAAAGCTGAATCACATCAATGCATAAACATACAAATATGCACCATCCGAAATAACGAATATCCTAAATTGTGAAGTGTTAAAGTGCCTCCCCGCCGTTTCAATGTCTACATTCAAATTTCAACAGTCACGAGTGGCAAATGTGATGTGTCTATCACGTCGAGTATGTGCTTTGTTCATAGAGATGAATTTACCGTACACACGCTCTCCTGTTATATAAGAGTGGTGGACAACCCATTTGTTATTTTACTTGAGTAATATAGGCAGCTCAATTTTGAAAAAAAAGCATTGGTGGAACCATTACCTTCCTGTCATAAGATCACTGGAGTTGAAAATGTGGAGGAATTATAGAAAGTGTCCAATTACTTTTAAGTATTCGACAATGCGACTTACAAGACAATAAGCATATGGTTGGTCAATAGATGCGACCCCAGGTTTTACACATCAAGTAAAAAAATAACATACAAAGGCATATCCTTACATAAAAATAACACGTTTAAAGGTTATTATTGTTAATAATATAAAAAGAAGTATGTGGGAAGAAGTCGCCCCAAGAGTGTGTCAGTAAATCTCTGTGGTATTGCTTAAATAATTCATTTATTTGACTCGGGGGACTACACATTCCCATGTCCATTGTTAGTTAGCCCACTAGTGTCTGGAGTGGTTCACATGCTAAGTATACGCTGACATAGAGCACGGCCACAACGTATGTCTCATCCAAGCTCCCCCTTTGTCTCCGGGGAAATTAAACTTGGCGAGTTTGAAACGTCTTTAGAATAGAAACACGTAATGTGATGTAAACCTATTTTAGTATTTCACCTATAGAACCAGGGATGCACTGCCCACAAATGGAGAAGACAGTAATTGTACCACTCGTTTCTTATTCTGTAGGAACATGTCAACGTTTCTTTCTTTAACCTAACTATCACCTGCAGCAGAAACACCAGGCCGAGAATTGTACATTTACTAGGTCCCATGATAAGCTTTAAACTGACTGGAATGTTTCAACAAAACCACATTGCGTGCAAACATTGACATTAAATCCTTACGGATTCGACAGCAGATGCGTTTTTTTCATTTACTTCCTTAGAGCCTCCCCAAGACACACGTTAAGTTAACATTGCATGGGTCAAAGTTAACTTCGTAAATGTGCTGCTTGATTTGAAAGGATTATGCTGAATCCCGAGTGTGTACTTATGATCACAAACTTGTCCATAATTGTGTGTGGCGCTGTATATATGTATCAATAGCACTGTGTTCCCATCCAGACATATGTATGATGACCGCTGGTATCATGTCGGGGTATTTTATGTGTCACTCGGTCGCCACCCCCACGATATCGTGCGTAAATCACATCAGACTCTGCGTAAACAAATTAGTAATTCATGCGTGGTATTAGTTTAGGAAGCGCGATCAGTTTCAGGCGATGTTGACAATCATTACTGCTGATTGTCAAGTTAAAGTGGGAATACATCACGAACGCCCTCTACGCACCGTGAGTGTATCACTGTAATGTGAGATGCTTGTTTTTCATTCTGTCAGTACATCCTAATGCTCTCTGTGACTTTATTCATTCACCTGTCGATCGTCGCGAAAAGCTAATCTAAAGATAAATCAAACATTGGAGCTGTACACAGCACGATTTATTTGCTCATTTATGCTACCGTGTTGGTAAAGCAGAAAACGCTCACAGCTTGACACACATTTGGACATTAAATTGCCTAATGTCCCATGAAATACATAATTATCGAATTAAATTGTCACTGTTTCATTGTACAACCATCCATCGATAGTATGCGGTAGTATGGCTTTTACGTGATTTCATAGTGTTTTCACAAGATTTGATAGTACCTCATTTCATCACACATGGCTTCATCTGGTAGTTGTTTCTCAATTTGTAATTATTGTTGCTATTGATGTTTTTAATAAACTTAAGGAGAGAAAATGTTTAGTAATGTCTATTTTAACATTATATACAAACATATCAACTCAAAAAAGCCAGGTGCCAGTTCCATATTAAAAGGCTATATCATATGCAGACGTTCGAATCAATATATATAGCCACACGGATAGAACGAGGTCACATACACAATAAGGCAACGACACACGTGATGCACGCACAGGATATTGGCACAGTTTGGGAAAAGAACTAAAATGCAGTCATCAAGATACACATGATTTGTGCAGAATATGGATATTTTTTTTTATCAAAACACAAGTGAATGCAGAATGTAGAATACACATATGGTCATCAAGACATGCATACAGAATGTATTTGTTTGTTTGTTGTTTGACGCTTCACAAAGACAACATGCAAAATCATCATGACACACGTGTGCATGCAGTGACAGCTACACGTATTATCGTTATTATTATTATTATTATTATTATTATCATTATTATGATACCACAAATAGTTATAAAGGCACACATGGACAGTAAGGATAAACAGTTACAAATCAAACCAACAGCAACATGCCAAACTCACAGCAACATCGACTGCATGCTAATTATATTATACACGTCAATGGCTGTATGAGATGACACCGATACTTTGTATTTTTTTAAATGACATCTCACATGTAAAATATGATTTCATTTTCAGGCATCTACCTGACAGTAACCATGGCGATGACGTCACTGTCCATCATACTGACCGTGTTTGTTCTACAACTGCATCACGTTGGCCCCCATCAGAAGCCCGTTCCAAGATGGCTGCGCTCTCTGGTATTTGACATCTTTGCCAGACTTGTGTGTATGTGTCACTCGACCGATTCAATGAGAAACAGACGACAGGTGACAAAGACAGATGATGTGTGTTTGTCCACATTCATGGAGACCATTGACGGTAGCAATTGCAATGGGTCTGTTCCATATAATGGGATGCCTCTCGCTCATGAACGCATGTTGGATCGGGGGGACCACACGAACGACAGGATAACCAGTCATCTGAAAGGCTTGGTACGTCGTCAGGACAGCGAGGAACGTCATCAGGACGTGGTGAATGAGTGGCGGTTTGTTGCCCACGTCATTGATAGGCTTCTCTTCTGGATTTTTCTTATAGCTGCGGTTGTGTCCTCTCTTACGATTTTGGTGATCCAACCCTTCCTTAAGCCGGAGCACAGTCTGTAATTCATCTGTCGAGCGGAGAGATATGTACCGATTAGAAGTGTTGGATATAATCTCATGTGGAATATCTTCAGCCAGCCTGGAACGTCCTGGTAACGTTCCTGCATGTATATGACCTGTATAGTTTGTGTTACATATTTTGTCGTATCAGTGGGAGGCAATTGAACGCTTTGGCCTTGAAATTTGTGTTAATAGATATTTCACAAAGAAAGTAAGCAGACCGTTATGCACCAATATCGGATGGATCAAAGCTACCTGGTTTCAGAGCACCATCAATCCGGTAATTAGAATTTAAATAGTATGATATATAGACCAGCAATAACATGACGACCATGTACATAACTATGATCTATTATTGATTTTATAACAAAAATAAGATATAAAACAGAAACGTGCATTTAAGTTCACACCTAAACAGTCTCAGTGAGAAGTGATTTGTACTTGACCCGAGAACGGATCGAGGGAGTTTTTTCATTTACGATTGGCTGTAAAATCGTGGAATTGTTAAGGGTGAGTTGTTACGATATCGTGGAATGCATCGTGAGGAAGGAAATCAGCGTTACGAATGAGAATGATGCGGTTACGTCTCCCTGTGATTTTCTGTGTCCGCCATGGATGATTTTAAAAGGAGCCATGATGTGCTTGATGGGTAGATTGAAGAGTTTGGGTAAATGAAGACCTTCCCAGTGAAGTAATCATGCAATGATGGCCCTACTTCAGTGGGAAGCCGACATTATAAAGCTCCACGAGGAGGGGCGTCGTTACGTGTTAAACTGATGTGTGTCTCGGCGATGATTCTTCCATCTTACCTACCTACACAGTCTTGGATGATTTGGTCAACCCTTCCAACGAACTTACATCAGTATCTTTATGTGTATGGATTTCATATATTTTTACATTCTCTCTGACTTTCTCTGAAGTGTACAAGGTGACAAGGAAGCAACTGAAAGCGTGTCGGGGAAGGGCTTGGAAATGGCACCTGGCCACATAATACCAAGTATCGATTTTACCTTTCTTTCTTATTTGTGACAATGACAGGTGCGGTTCATGGTGATTTTTATTAATACAAAAACGTGAGCAGGATTACCATTCCTGAACACAATGCAAACACAAGGTTATCATTAAGATAACAATGTAATACACAACATGACCGCCAGTATATGTAAGCATTTTAACACCCAATTTGCTTGTATAGAGTTTGAAATTGTTTCGTGTCACGATTTAAAACCTGAAATGACACGTCAGGAGGTATTTAGTATGTGCGACCAACCCTGTTCTTCTGGCTATAGATTACAAATTCATCTTGCCAGGATAGAAGTATTGTCAACTGCATTCGTGGCTATAGTTCCCAAACATGCTTAACTGATTATGCAAACAATCAACACGTTCCAACAGAGCTGAACAGACTGCTTGAATTCTCAGAAAGAAGAAACAATAGTTTATATTTTTCTTATGCTGTTGGTAGTGACTATGTAGGACGTAGGAATAGCCGTAGTATTATAGTAAAGGATTGTGATGTGTTTGTTAGATAGAAACATATACAAATTTTCTTTTTCTCCTGTGCATGATTTGATTGCACTTTATAAATACTGCACATCGTTATCTGCTCACGTCAACACCTAACTTGCTGTTGAATGAGTGTATATTTATTTTGTACCATGTGGTTATTTATTGCAACAGATATCCATTCATTATACGGAGAACTCTCACCATATGTGTGTCATATATGCATTAACTAACCATCAGCGTATATTTTTCACGTAGATAACCCAAAACACTTGAATATATTTTATAGCTGAAGGAAGGACAATTTCAAAAGATTTGTAGCTTGAGAGCATCTCAGAACATATTAGAAATTCTGGGATTGAATCATCAATGGCGGATATATCTATTGGTGCATGGATATATTTAATGCGTAAATGTTGTTCCGTATTTATATGTCAGAGTTCGCCCTAATGACTGTTTTCATGTTATGCATAAAGATCGTTAGAGCGATTAATACATATTGAGTTCTTCGTTGAATGCATATTGAGTTCTCGTAATGCCTTTATGGTAGGTGTGTATGCTATGTGCTACCACAACTGAACCGAGCACACGACATGATGTTGTGGCTTATGGTGTGTATATTCCCAAGTCATCTGATTCAAAGAATAGTTGTATTACTGGAGAGATCATCTCCCAGCATTAATAAGTAGAAAGGAATCAAGGAGTAACAAGGATTTAGACCACAGAATATTACAATGTTACAAACCACAGAAACATATGTCATATATGTATATGTGCTACTATCCCAATGTCAGCTTTTTATCTATACGTCTTCGAGAAGTGAATTGTAACAAATCAGAATATTAATGTCTCCTTTCTTACACCAAGAACAAATACTATTTCTTGATCTAATTCGTACTCAAACGCTCCCACCTATTTTGTTCTACAGTGGTACAATACACCATTGCCCATCATACAGCAACATCCACCAGTCGGACCAGTACCTTCATTCACAAGGGCCGTGGTCCAGTGATCTATGCATTTAATATAACTACGTTCCTTAAAAAATATTCATTTTTAATATTAAGATAAATGTATACATTGTATTGTCTTGCACTCGTTACTTGTGCTGATATGTTTGATGTCACTCTGTCTATGTAATCCTTAAACGTTCAATTTTAGTGGTTTGTGTTGCAATAAATAACGCTACCGTCGGTAGACCAGAAAGAAATTTAATAGCATGAAATCATTAACCATTGTCCAGAAAACAGTTTCGGAAATGAGCCTAACTCCTGTTCTATTGGTTCATTGCTGGGAACATGCAGAGTTTGCTCAAATGTACCTCAGTAACTCAAGGAGCGGCAATCAGATGTACTTTGAATGGAATTTTAGTTACGCGACTGATATACTTACTGGCAGTCCCATCATTTCGTGAACACGTTTTTGAATCAATGTATTCGATACTGTCCTGTGTTTTCTTTGATCAAAAGAGGTCCAGAGTTCTTTCATTCTTCTTTTGCATGCACTATTTGTTCCATAATAGTTTTAGTGATGTATCCGTATCAATCTTTTCCTTGGCTTATGTGACTAATACTATTGCATTAAATGCAGAGAATAGGGTATAAACTACACTCTTTAAAGGATATGAAAATAAGTGTTTAGTCAGTTATTCATCATATTATGAGCCGAAATGAAAGCATTGATTTCATTCGCAGTTTTAGGTATTTGGTTTCTGGCAGTTCGATCATAGAAGGCACTTGTCATTAAATGTCTGCAGCATTGAAATGAGCTGTCGACAATGATGTGTGAGTCGAATTGCTGAATTGATGATGTTTTTATATTAACAGAATCCAACTGTGATTCAAATGTCACAGTCTGTTTGTCAATAGTGTTCCTGTTGACCGAAACAGAAAGATTGAACCAGATAAGGAAAAGTTGAAAGTTGGTGGCATTGTTTTTGCAAAAATATTGTTTCAAACTTTGGAACAGTGTTCCAACAAAGAATTGGTGAAGCGGCTACTTCAGATGAATGAGGTCTGGCGCCCTGTCCTCCACGTGGCTGTCATTACCAGGACGTGAAAGAGGAATTCAGCGTATATAACTTAGTTGCAGGTTCAATCAATGCATATTGACGACCGCATTATTTTCCAAATTTGACGTTGGTGTGATAGAGCCAGACGATTTACGTGATTATGATGTATAAATTTTATAATACGTACGTAATGTAATTCAGCCAGCTGGGTAGGCCTCTTGCGGGCAGTGCATAAGAAGAGGAGTATGATGCGGCATTTGATAGCTCTAAACGTATCGAGGACGGCAACCCTTTTATCCCGACTACCAAAATGCCTCCAATAAACGTGTTAGCATTTCTTTCCTTCATCTATACACTATGTGCTCGCTTTGGGCATATTTCTCATATTTCATTTCTGATTTAAGTCCTAAGTTGTATGTGTCTCAATTAATGACCATGGCGCCCTGACAAAACTGCTAACATTATTATGAATATTATTATCAAATATATCTCACAATAGGTGTATGTGTTTAAACGTCTCGAAATCTGTCTCTGCTTTGGTGCATGCAATGACATTGCTCATGTTTTTATTTTCACTGTGTGACATGAAGTACGCACTAGAATAGAACAACCCTAAGTTGGTAAAAAGTAGCACCCTATCTTTCTTGTAGACCCGAGTTTCTTGAATGGCGTTTGCCACATAGTCTGTACAGATGTAATTTGAGAGAAAACCAACAAAAACATACTGTATGATTTGTGTAAATAAATTACAGATATTTCGTAAACTTGAGTTTTTGTTATGTTGAACGAAATAACCATCATCCCAGTCGAATAAAGGCGCTGTGTGGACGTCTCAGGACCATTTGATCATCGGTTTGAATCCCAGGCCGTACCTCTTTGTTCAATAGATTCACTGAAGTGTTGAACCTGTAAGAGCTGCATCCTTTCGAGGATATCTTCCACCTCAGGAACACCTGTTTAAAGCGGCGTTACACCCGTCACCTACTCACTTGTTAATAGTCGATGGTTTTACTTGAGAAAGTAAATATCTGAGCGACTATGACATGGGCTAACACATCAAATTTCAAAGAGGGAGTTGGATATAGACGCCTCTCTGAATAGCATTTCAGTAATATCACGGCATCTGGGGGTGTCAGGAAATGCTTGAAAAAACTAATTCTGCACTAGGCTGTTGGGAAAAAGGAAATTGTCAGCCCAAAAACATACAGTTGCAAGATATTTTTTTAAAATATATAGTCTCATAGTTTTTTAGATGTAGGTGGAAGTATCCCTAGTCTCCACACAAAATCCCAGCACACACACACCCACACACACACACACACACTCACAATCTCTCTCTCTCTCTCTCTCTCTCTCTCTCTCTCTCTCTCTCTCTCACAGACACACATACAATCTCTCTCTCACAGACACACACACACAATCTCTTTCTCTCTCTCTCTCTCTCTCATAAACACACGCCCAATCTCTCTCACAGACACACAATCTCTCTCACACAGACACACACACAATCTCTCGCTCTCTCTCTCTATCTCTCTCTCTCTCTCTCTCTCTCTCTCACACACACACACACACACACACACACACACCAGAATACCAAATGGTCAGTCACTCAGTGTCAGCAAAACTGAATCAGATACATATCTATGCATATGGGGGTTATCATTATTGTGAAGTCCACGAGAACGGTGTGGTTCTACAGACCAAGGATCATAAGTGGGGCCAACTCTCGACTGGCAAATTGTAACAGCTAAAGTTAAAGCCACTGTGCATTATATTAGAACTGCTGAGCTACTGTTCTACAATGTACTTGTGTTCGAAGCGTCATAAACCCTTCATGGCCCCCCTCTACTGTGTGTAAAGGATACCACAAAGCAAGGCTGCACGCCCACTCTTTACCTAATGTTATCTTATGAACCTCGTGTAAATGTCAGTGACCATCAATACACGTATGTCATCCCAGACATTGGACTAATGCCTACACTGAATGTAGATAAAGTTACTATAATTAAATCTCTTCACAGGAAGGTAGTGGCCAAGCCCTCACTGTGTCAGGTGCACACACATTCTTTAGTAATTTTAGCACAATATATCTATAACAAATAAAATGTTAATAATTGAAAAAATACTGTTAAAAGGTGCTTATGTTGATTGATTTATTGCCGCTCAATCATATTCCAGCAAAATTAAGGCAGTCTGTAAGTAGTCGAATCTGGACTAGACAATTACTCATTGATATTAGGGGCGGTCGGGTAGCCTGGTGGTTAAAGCGTTCGCTCGTCACGCCGAAGACCGGGTTCGATTCCCGACATGGGTACAAAGTGTCAAGCCCATTTCTAGTGTCCCCCGCCGTGATATTGCTGGAATATTGCTAAAAGCGGCGTAAAACCATACTCACTCACTCACTCATTTCTGGTTTGTTTCATTTTTCATTGGGGTATACTTTCTTTTGCCAGACAGTGTATTTGACAGTTCTGGTTTGTTTGTGCAATTATGTTTGGACACGATGACACTCATTCAATTCACCGAGCCTGACCACCTGATTCATTTATTTGCATCTTACGACTTGCATATATTGATGGGGTACTCTCTTCTAACACGGAATCATAAACTATTTCATTCATTTAGACCAGGCAACATACGCCTTGAATAGGGCGAAAGGGGCGGCGGGGTATCCTAGCGGTTAAAGCATTCGCTCGCCACGCCGAAGACCAAGGTTCGATTCTCCACATGGGTACACTGTGTGAAGCCCATTTTTGGTGTTCCAGGGCGTGATTGTGATTGAATATTGCTAAAAGCGGCGTAAAAGCATACTCACTCACTGACTTACATGGGCCAGACATAAGAAAACATTCAGATACATGTATGTAGAGCAGACATTAATCAGTAGTAGTTTCCTTACTCTCGAATAACTTTCAAACCAATCTGCTGTATCTAGTATATATGCGTGAACGTGCTTTTTTATCATGTAGAATGATAAACGCGCCGGGAGCCATTTTCATAACCATAAGAAATCGATACAAAATGTACAAAATTGTACGATTTTGACCATATCATAAGCATGTGTCTATCAATCACTATCAAATAGTGATGATACCAGGTGTTCGCGTAAGGGTGAGCGCACAAGTCAAAATAGGGTATTGCATCGGACTTCAGTTTTGTCAGTTTGTTTATATCATTTTTGTAAATGCAATTTACATTGCTGAACGTAAATAGCTGTATGTACATGTACTACAACATTATAGCAATAGTGTAAAACTATTTAACAATTGCAATTATATTGTGATAATGAAAAAGCCCTTGAATGTCATCCCAAACAGCTTATCAACGAATTTTACAGACATGTATATACAATAAGGTCGTTTAAACAAGCACATTACGTTCAGAAGGAGAATTAAGGAATGTAAAACATTTTCGCGAAGTCATGTTATGTCTGACATATTTACCACATTGGGACGACTAAATAGTGTAGTGTTTACGTTTTTCAGTTAAGAAAATACAAATTCCACAAACATCCACCTGTCGGTTTAGAAGACATAAATGTCAAGGCCTGATTGCTCTAGCTGCTTTGCCTCTTGTGAGATTATTGTCGGATCTGGATGTTTTTGATGTAGGCCATAAGCCGTGTGAAACAGAGATAAGGATACGTAAGGATGTGTATCTCACCTGTTAAAACTCTTGACGATTGATAGAGTATCATTTTATCAAGCCATATTAGCAAATTGGCCCACTGTGTGTGAAATTTGTTCGCTGGGGATTAAATCAAGGGATTTTTGTTTCAGGTCAGTCTGTTTTTCACATGTCACGTTACAGGTTGTACATACAAAAGATACAGATGAGATTATTAGACGAAATCGTTAAATTCACAAATACATATAGTCATGCATATGCTATCGTCTTCATGAATCAGGGGGCACGGGTGGCCCAGTCGTCTAAGGCGAAGCGATTCGCTGTGCAGAGTTGCGTCCCTTGGGCACGCCAGAAACCTATGATTGTGGGTTCGAATCCCGGTTCGCCCCGATTATGTTTCTAGGTTTGTCAGCACCATATCCGTGCTCGTGGGTTTCACCGAAGTGGTAAACGTCTGAGACCTACATCACTTCGGGCTTTCCTCCAACATTAAGCTGACACGTCGTGATATAACTGTAATACTGTTAAAAGCGGCGTTAAACCCAACTCACTCACTCTTCATGAATCTGAGGGTAGTGAAGTTGAAACCTCTGTTAGTTTATTGTTTTCATAAAAAATGCAATGTTGTGGAAACACTGAGTGAGAAGTCATGTCATTGTCGAATCTGTGCGGGTATCGGTATCTAGTATTACAAGGCATTTAACAGGTTCCCCTGCACCAAATACAGGAATCGACAGACCATTTCATAGAAAAAACGCCTCGATGGTAATGAAGTTTTTTATCCCTTTTCATTAAACGTATGTTGAATATTTAGCTCTTCAAGATAGTATCGACTTGATTTCAGAGCATCTTCTGGTTGTCACCTTAGCCGCGTTAATAATGCAATATGTTAATGCGAACTAGATATTTGCTGACTAAAAATATTCATGAATTTATAGCATCTTAGTGTCATGACACAGTAGAAGACGTGAACCACGACCCCCATCACAAGTATTGAAGAATATATCAATTGGGCATTTCTGTCATCTTCATAATATCACTTTCCTTGGTGATAAAGTATTTATAAAAGTAACGTTTTTCGACAATCACATTAGCTGTGAAAATCGGAAGTCCTACCGCGGCAAATGTTACATAATCATGATTATTGCCATGATATTCACGTTACAATCAGTGGCTGTAAGCAAGAAGCGTCAGTTCATCTGAAGGGTGTTTGACGAGCATCAATGAAAAAACTGCCATCCCAATTCGAATGTTACTTGCATTATTACAAGGCACAGAGTGATTGATTTGTTCCAATTTGATAAAATGTTTTTGAAGTACAAACCGATACCAACACTATCCTGCTGCCATTTTCTGACACAAGGGTCATTATGCCAGCAGAGAAAGTGAAATGGGGTGTTTTGCCGGTCACAACATCGAACTCAGGAAAATGATCGGTTTGTCGATAAGTATTTATCCGAGGTCAAATCATTAAATGTCAAATACCTCTCATGCTTTGGGTGAGTTAAGAGTGGTGTTTTCCGGGCCAATTTGTCGATATGTCATCCTTGCCATATTTTGGAATTGCAGCAAGAGATTGCACAATTGCTATTAAACGCCTACTGCGTAATTTGGGCCGTTGCAAAACTTCTTGTGAGGGCTTATTTCGCTGAAACAAAATTTCTGCTTTCTGAATATTACCTTTTCAGGTTATCGAAATACGCCAACGTTCTCATCGAGCTAAACGCCACATGTTGTCTACATGTGTTTAAACACGGCTCAATATTTACGATTTGTGCATCTGTTTCTTTAATTCATTTACAGGATCGCTTCAAATAGATGTATTTCTGGCACAATCATCATCACCTACCGGCTTCCCAGTGTATTTGAACTATTGCAATAGCGAAGGTGCTTCCCCTCATTTCGAATGTAATAACATATTAGGCATTAAGCAAGTATCTTATTGGTAGATCAAAGAACAAACACGATGAACTGGTGTTTTGTGAAGAAGAAATGTTTGACCTAGTTTAATATATGCATTTAATGAGAGATGGCAAATTCAAGTCTGTTATAATTGTTGTCTTGACATGCTAAACATGTGGCCAGAGTGCATGTCAAGCATTGCATATGGCGTTATCAAGTCACATTATATAATTTC